GAAGCCTGTATTATATGAAGGGAGCTGGTTCCACAATTTAGGAGGATGCAGGGGGTCAGACAGGTATACAGGACCCTGCTCATTCAGGGCCTTATAGGTAATATAAAACTTTAAAATCAATTCTAAAATGAACAGGAAGCGAAGGGAAGCGAGCACTGGGAGATATGCTCATGCTTTTTTTGTTTGAGTTGCAGCGTTCTGAACTAACTGCAGGTGTAAGAGACCGGACTGGCTAATGGTGCGTTAAGACCGACCGCGATTTCAATGAATTTTTCACCTCATTTGCGTGCCGTCGCTCGCCTGACATTTCACTACCACCTTGCGTGGTCAACGGGAGGCAATGCTCCACTCGCTTCACCGCGTCATCAAACAGGAAGAGCTTCTATCTGCTGCTTGCCGGTTTCAACTCAACATCGAGCGAGTCACGGTGCTTTATTTATGAAAGCTGAACAACGCCACAACGTCCCAAGGTTCACCAGAGACAGAACCAGTTTGGAGAGTACCACCACCTACTTCAGGAGCAGCGTCTGGATGATGGTCGCTATCAGCGGTACTTCAGTCTATCCAGGACCCAGTTTGAGGACCTGCTGCCCCGCGTTGGAGGACGAATCAGCCTACGGGACACCAACTACAGGCGCTGTATCCCCACAGCAGAACGCCTGCCTGTCTTCGATGAGTAAATAAATCTCAGCTCAATAGATAAAAAACCAAATTGTTCTGTCCACATATTCTAAATATAATAAACATTTTTGTGCCTAAACATATGGATGAGCAAAACACACCAGGCAACACCTGATATGACAATTATGTAATAACCGCTAATCGGTGACCTAGAAATCAGGCTTGCTGACATATGCATATGAAAATACTTATGAATAAAATATCTTTCCTACATGAACATTGATGTCCCCTAAGCAACTGCTGCAAGTTTCATACTTATATGACGACTTTTGTGCTGCAAAAAGGGTTATAGATGCAAAGCGAATTGACAAAAAAGTTCAGATTTTTCAACTCCAGCCAAATTCGCTTCGTGTCCATCGTGGGTTTTGCTTTGCTCTATTAGCCCTAATCGCGCCGTTCGCGACACGTCCTTCGCATCCTTCGCCTCTCTTCACTCCTGAACACACCTTTACATAGGGTTAACATGTAAATCACTCGCTTCTGTCGCGTCATTCACGTTCGGTCGGAACGCACCTTAACACTAACATACAGAGAGTTACAGTAATCCAGTTAATCTAGTAATCCAGAGGCTAATGAAGCTGTGAATCGCCTGTTCAGAATCACTAAAAGATAAAAATGGTTTAATGGTTAAGTCCTATTTGTCGCAGAGTGAGACAGGATGCAATGGATTACTGATCAAAACTTCATATAGATGTTGATTAACTTAAAATAAAGTATAAATGAGAAATGGATAGATGAATAAATGACTCAACTTAAAAGGCTGGATTCTTATGGGATTTTGCCTGCGAGATTATGATACTGCCATAAAAGATTTATTTATATAGATACATCTTTACCAGGGGGCCAATAGTTGAGGAGGGCCCTGTATCTCTCATCTGAGAATAATTTCTATAAATCACAAGTAAGACACAGTAATCCAAACACAGAGCTAATGTTAGCAGACTGAAATAAAGTTAGGTTTCTGGAACTGTTGCTGCAGATCCTCTTTTTCTCTTGTGATAAATGAAAGGATGCAGCAACAAAACAAAACAGTGCTCTCTGCTTTTACATGCAAACCAATCATTTGCCTTAACGAAGTACAGGGAAGGAGACTGGAACAGATGGCTGTTTTTAAGAGCAGATGATTTTCATTGTGAGTGTGTTTGCAGGTACAACGTACAGGCGCTTGATTCCTGATTCAGGCTGGGCGGAAGATCGGGAGCGGGTCCTCAGTTCAGGGGAGGGAGACGGAGAAGAAGTTGCAATCTCATCCTCTACTTCATCACTGTAAAAAAGAACAATCATAATCGTCAAACTCACTGATGTGTGTAAAATGTTCAAAAGTGTTTCATCTGAATAACTCAGGGGTGTCCAAAGTGCGACCCGGGGGCCATCCGACTGCAATTTAAGAATTAGTGCAAAACTCTTTTTAGGTTTTAAATCTACAATGATTTACACTTCCCTTTACTACAAAAAACTTCTGAATACTTTTATTAAAATGTTGCATCCTTAGTTGAATTGAGTGGGTAAAAAAATTCACAATTCAGATTTTTGTGATATAATTTTTTTTAAACACTATATTTTTGGCCCGCAAGTTCTATTGACTTTTTAACTTTGGCCCATGTGTCAAAAAGTTTGGACACCCCTGGAATAACCCAACAAGTAATCAAGAATAAAACATTTTACACGAGAATATATTGTAAATAAACATAGGCATGTGACGATGTGGTTTTCTATTTTTTAACGGTTGCAGGAAGTCACTGAGCTGTATTGTACCAAGAGAATAAAAGAAATTAATAAAACTTGGCCTGGCATCACAGAAATACACCGATGACATGTCTGAGTTGAGGCTTCATTTACAAGAGGGAATATTTGGAAAAATGCTTTTTTTATTGCTTTTGAAAAACTTTAGCAAGTAAATCTCTTTTATTATATAAGGCTTTATTTGGAACTCTTGGTCTCACATCAACTTTTGTTGGATCGTAGCACCTATTTAGCATCAAGTATTTGAGGCCAACGTTAAAAGGAGGAGGTGCCGGACGAGCCCCCAATTTATCACGACCATGGTCCCAAGAGGGACACAGAAGATAACTCAAAGTAGGAATTTTTGGTTATTTTAAAAGTACAGAGATGAGGCTGCATTAAAGATGTGAAAATGTAAAAAAAAGTTTTTAAAAAACGACCGAACGATGTGAACCAAACCGTGGTCTCTGAGACAGAGAGGATGGTTTTAACCGCTGTATAAAACATTTGATGGCAGTGATGTTTTTTCTTCGAAATAGAATCACATTACCAGGTAATTAGCCCTACTAAAATAAACCAGCATGAGGCCAGAAGAAGAAAGATTACAAAGGAAGCAGCTGCATTAAATCCATGGGAGTCCTCCCAGAAGGCTTGGTCCAGTCATAGGCTAGAAAGAATATTTCCTCAGTCTGAAACTCTCTACAACACACTTCATCTACCTCTTGTAGTACGCCAGCTCCTCCTGCAGTAGGAACACTTTGGCCTTGAGCTCATTCCTCTCATGTAGGACGTCCCTCAGCTCCTGCAGAGTGAAGCGGGGCCTGTTGGGGTCCTTTGGGTCCAGTCCGCCCAACTCCTCCTCGCACATCGCCTCCTGCCAAGACAACAGTGCATCACACAGAGTGAACTAAACCAGGCAGGATGAAAGAAAAAGAAGGCAGGTAAGATGCAAGGATACCTTGGTGAAATATTGGAACACACCAGGCATGTCCTCATCACACATCGCCTCCTGGTGGCAGATGTTGAGCTTGAAGTCAGAAATGAACCCTTTTTGTTTCAAACATTTAATCAGTTTGCCTGTGTCTCCGTTATCTTAATTCCATTCTGTGTTTTTTCTCTAGTAACTCAGCACAACAAAATCAACTGCAGTCAGTTAAAGAAAAACACGGCAAAAACACATGCAGCTCTCTAAGCCACTCGCACTGATCAGAAATCACTCCACTTGATATATGTTTTAAAAGAATAACACCTGAAACTGAAGTCACACTTTTAATTACATTTGTTTTCTAATTAAATCATTTTCAACAATTTTCATATTTTTAAATGGTCATAATTATAAAATAAACTCAACTCAGGCCACAAAACATATGTAAAAAGGCAAAAGCTTGTTTTCTGTTTAAGTTGCTTCTCATGAGTTTGATATTAGAGATGCACCGATGAGAACTGTGTAGCTAATTTCAGAATCTCTAGTTTTTGTAAGGGTCTGACCTTTACATATTATTATTAGCCAATTTTGATTTCTCTTTAAGATGTATAACATGAGATACAAGAACATCATTCACTGTATTCTTTTTAGCCTTTGCTGAACGGTTTTTAATTACTTAAAGTAGGAACAGAGCTGACCTCGCCTTGCTTTATCAGGACTTCCCCTACTACAGTTATATTATATCATCAAAAGGAGTCACTTGATACGGGTCTTTGGCAGACTTACGACCCGGTGCAGGAGCAACATTGCTGTGTACCTCTTGTGACCCTGGTGTTGTGCAAGGATTTGCTCCATGTTCTGCTGCTGCTGCTACTGGGTCTGTCTCACAAAGAAGGTAGAGGTGTTTACTTCCAGAGCCATCACAGAGGTGTGTCCAATGCTGGCAAAAGTGCAACACGTCTGAGCATTACTCTGACAATGCTGTTGTCTCACATAGCACAACTCTGCACAATAATAATGTTAAGGCACTTTTCCTAACAGGTGCAGGCAGAGGCAGAGGGTCATGAAGTGATTTCTGTGTAAATGCCAGTCACTGACCGTGAAGCAGCTGCTGCCAGCGCTTCCAGGCAGTTATATAGGTAAATATGTAATGCTAGCAATAGCAAAATCTGTGGATGTGGCGTTGGGTAATGGGCCCAATGTAGAACGCCCAAGGATGGATATCATCCCATGGTCATGGTGCGAATCCTTCTAAATATGGTAAAACTAACATGTTGGAGGGTATAAAACACTTCCTTATTCCAGGTTTACTTGTTCATTCGCTTAAATGTTTTAGAAATAAGTGAATTAAAGTCACACCCTAAAACTCCCACCCCTGTCAATCAAACACACCAAAGAATGAACCTCTCTACCGATGGCCCACATTCAGCTGATCCGAAGGCCAAAGATACATGTTTACTTAATGGATTAGGTTTTCTCTTCATCTGTTGTCTAAATCCGCTTTTCCTTGCAGGGGTGCCTATATCCAGAGGCCCAGCGGAGAGGTGGGGTACCCCCTGGACAGGGCACCAGTTTGTCACAGGACAACAGAAAGACACACAGGGCAAACACCCATGCATAAACACAGTCAGTACACAGGCAAAACCCACGAATGCACAGAAAGATGCAGAAAGACCCCAGGCTGGGAATTAAACCCAGGACCTTCTTGTTGCAAGGAAATAGTGCTACCAACTACACTACGGTGAAAAACGGTCTTCCTAATTATGTTTGCCTGCTGTTACAAGCTTAAGTTAGCATATGATTTGTTGCTTCTGTAAGGATTGTTTAGAGCTGTTTTTGACTTACTTAACTGCAGAATTAGAAGCTTTAAATCAGATGCAAACTTCAGTGTTGTGCTATTCCCAGCTAAATGTTTGTTGCAAGGTTCTTCCTCTGGGAATAGGCCACGGAGAAGCCATGCCATGTCCAAAATAAAGTATTGTTTTTAAAAGGCTCATAAATGCTTATTTACTCCAAATCTGGGACAATATTATTTATACTTTGTATTCTCTTACAGTCAAAAAAGCCATGATTCTATGGTTTTGTGTGTACAGTTTGCTTAGTTTTTCTGTTAGTGTGAATCATCATTTTTATATAGAAATAAGAGCCTCCTTCAAGTTACTACAACACTTACTTTACTTAAAGTTGAACTGAATTTATCTTATTACATATATTTCACCAAATAATCTGATTATTTACTTATCACTACTCCTCCTTGAACCGCCACCTTAACGTGGTGGAGGGGTTTGAGTGCTCGAATGATCCTAGAGGCTATGTTGTCTGGGGCTTAAATGCCCCTGGTAGGGTCTCCCATGGCAAACAGGCTCTAGGTGA